GGACATATCAGACATATCGACCGATTTTTCAGAAAATTAGTCGATATGCTCTATTATCGGTTTAAAGTTTTTTTTCACTTATTGGGTTTGTGTTTAGTGATGAAAACCCAAACCCATTTGACCTGTTGTGTTGTTAAGGGTCTGTTTTCGAACCCGATAGACAGAAACGAACCCGTTCAAAAGAAAAAACAAAAAAAACCCTAGGGCTATCGCGACTGGGAACCTAACAGCCGCCTTCATCTTCTTCGTCTTGCGTTCGTTCTCCTCACATTGCTGACTTCTCCTCACATCGCTAGCTTCTCCTCTCTTACCTCCCTGCGTCATCGAAATCCTTCGATCTCCGGCGTCGCCTTCTCCTCTCTTTCTTTCCTGCGCCATCGGAAGCCGAAGTTCCTCAGCTTCAGTCGTTAGGTAAGCCTCCCTGACCTCTCTCTCTCTCTCTCAGTATCTCTCCCTCTTGAATCATTTCCCCTGTCAAATAAAATTAATTTTAAGTTAGTAAGTGAATTATAAAATTGAAATGTAACAAATTTAAATGCTAATGCATAGGAGGTAGTGAGATACTTAACAGTTGACACTCCTTAATGTCAGCTCCCTCTTTTGAATTTGTACCAAGTTGTTGCTGAAATTAAATTGAAATTAGAAACTCCCAAGCAATCGGTTAGTGACCCTAAACATCATATATTATTTACTTTTTTATATGTTTAGTCTATAGAATTTATAAATTATGCTTATAGTGAATTTAAGAATGCGTAGATTACATTTAAGACATGATATTATACATATGTGCACCACCTGATATGACAATCTGATATTTAGTTCATGTCCCCCGATATATCCCTGATTTTCGCTATCCGACATGGATTTCAGCCGTCCGACATGAACCCAACATCCAACATTTAAAACCTTGACGAAAACAAATAAATTCAAGCATTCAAAAGAATTATGCTGGGATTAAAGAAAAAACGGATGAAGAGAATGAGTGCAGTCAAAATGGATCTAACCCGATCAAAACTCTATACCCAAGTCCATCTTAGATAAATAGTGAGGATATGTTTTTGCCGCTTAAGCGCTTGCCTAGATGCCTGGGCACCAGGCTTGGTCTGGCGCCTAGAAGTGTCTAGTGCTTTCTAAAACATTGCTACTAGCATCCACATCCTGTCAAGCACTGATGCTGCCAAATTGAAATATTTGGTTCTCTTTCAATTTTCAGAAAAATTGTTCCTTGTTTTGACCTAGTGTTTTTTATTCAATATTTTAGTTAGTTTCTTCTTGCTCTTTTACTCCCTGCTGTTACTGCTAATCTATTAGTGATTTAGTTGCTTGATAATCATTACTATATATAGATTCAAACCTTCAGTCGACCTTTTGCTCTGGTACCCATATATTTTGAAATTTTGAGTATATGTTGTTCGAAAAAGGAGAATAGATCCTGTCACTTAGCAGCTGCATGGCGCATAGATAGCACCGACTTAGAAGATCACTCTTTGACTTTTTCGCTAGCGAAGATTTTATTCAGAGTTATACTCATTTTCCTATTACCTGTGTAAAATTTTTATCTAGAATCTGTCGCTGAGCATATTGCTCTATGCAACCTGTAAAATTTATGTACCATATAAACTAAATAGTTGTTTTTTTAACACGTTGAGATCTTATCATGGATTAAAACCATTATTTCTTGGGTATGTATAATGATAAAACTTTGCATTTAAAAGTTTTGTCTAGCTTGCTGCACTATGACTGTTAGATATGCTTACTTTTGTAGTCTTTCATATTTATCTTATATTTGGCAATATTCTTTTTATTTTTTTTCTGCCTAATATAAATTTCTAGGTTTTTCTTCAAGATATTGTCATTAGTAGTTTTCAGTTTAGCTGTTGGTTAAGCATGAGATACAAGCATATTAGATTTCAAGAGGCCCTTCTCGAGTGCTATTGGCATTGGTGAAATGAAAATGTTTGAGATATAAGAGTGCCAACATTTTAAAGGATAAGAGATAAACACACTTATTAGAATGTTGAAGCAATTAAGTTAGATGTAGAGTCAAAGTGAGGAAAAGATGAGGGACAATCAGTGAGATGGTCTGCACATGTGGCGTGTGTGGCGGGTTAAATAAAAAAATTTACCTGTTAGGTAGATTTTACTGTTTAAATTGTAGCACTTTTTTTATTTCTTGCAAGCTTTTACTCTTTTTCTACAGATAACTACATAGCATTAAAACCAAAGTTCTTCCATTTATTACTCTTTATTATCATCTCAAATTTGATCTTTTTCTTTCTTTATGCTTTTAGCTCCCCGGATTGGAAGGCACAGTTAAAGATACCACCACGTGATACTCGTTACAAAACAGAGGTGAGGATAATTTTTCAGTTATTTGGCCTTATTGGAAATTTGAATTTCTTGTAGTATTGTATTTGTTAGGAGATTGTGGTTTTCCCATCGTCTTTATGATAGGATTCTTGTCTATGAAGGGACTCTTCTTCAACTTGTTGTCAGAACTAGAAATTTTATGATGTGGGAACAGTGCTAATCATGAGGTCAAAAAAATAAAATAAAATAATTTCAAGTAGTAATTTTATGTGCTTGAATAAAGCTCATCTTTTTAACACCATTGTAAACCGCAAATCTGACTAGCAGTTGAATCAGTTTGCATGTATATATTTTATTATTTATAGCGAAAAACTATTTAAATTATTTTACAGAGTAATACAACCTGTATTGCTGCATCTACTGAGTCAGTGTAGCAATTTATTATCCAGTATTTCTGTTACTTGCAACCCTGTATAGTGACAGGATTTGGCTGGAAGTAATAAATGGTGAATTATGTACAGTTTGTTGTTTTGTTTGTTTTCGGAAAGTGCAAAGTGCAGTAGTGATTAATAATGACTAATACAAAAGGAAATGTGAGGTTTGAAGTAAAAAAAATTTAATTTGACAATGTTATCTTGGGGAAAGTAAAAAAAGAAATCACTGAATAGAAATTTTGTGACTAAGGTGATGCATTTGATGTACTGATAATTCTGGTCAGATACTTGCAAAACCTTGAAAGCTCCTAATATCAAAACCAATACAAGTGAATCAAAATTGAGACTGATAAAGATATTTCAAACTTCCTTTCTTTACACTTGGGAATTTTGGACTTTTTCTCCTGTTGGACCCACAACCTTGTCGTGGTATTAATAACAGCAGCCTAAAGGCTTTTCGTCTGTGTGTATGTATGTACATGAGAGTATAACGGTTTCAGTTATTGCATCTCTAGCATCTTACTTATCATAGTTTTACACAACATATGCCCACACGCATGCATGTACTCTGTCATATGTATTCTGAGCACCAACCCAATGCATGCACAACATAAAAGTAAATGTATTGAATGCCAGTTGTCATCTTTCACATTTACACCATTGCAAAAGTAACATTTACATCTTTACCTGTGGTCATCCTGATAGTTGTACTTTATAATTGCTGGATTTCACTTGTCCATGGTTTTGGAAAACATCCTTTATAGGGCTCTGTGTTCTCAAGATGTGAGTTTTACATGTGGCCTAAAAAGATACAAGTTTGCACCTATATCTCATTGCTGAAAAGGGCTACTGCAATCTTTTTAATGGCCGGATCCCTAATCAATCAGTGTTATCATTGTAATTTATGCTAGCTTGTTGAACATTCAATCCTTTTAATTTGCATGGACTTGCATCGGGCAGGTAGTTTCAGTAATAAAGGTTGATATACCTAGCTGAATAGAGTATTTTAATTATCCTTCTTTTCTTTAAGTAGCAGCTGCCGGCTAGTCTAGTATATTGTACATGATGATTGTTATTTGATGAAATATGGACATAATGCCTGTTGTTATCTTTTAAAGGATTGTGGATCAAGAGTTACTTATTAATGATTCACTTTTTGATATTCATGTACATCTACTTGATGTTTAATATATGTAATTTTGATATGTGTTGTTTCAGGATGTAACGGCTTCTAAAGGAAATGAGTTTGAAGACTATTTTCTTAAGCGGGAGCTGCTTATGGGAATATATGAGAAGGGTTTTGAAAGTCCTTCTCCTATTCAGGAAGAGAGCATCCCAATCGCTCTGACCGGAAGTGACATTCTTGCTAGAGCTAAAAATGGAACTGGAAAGACAGCTGCTTTTTGTATTCCTGCACTAGAAAAGATCGATCAAGATAACAATGTTATTCAAGGTTCACTGTTATGTTTTTTGTTTCTGTTAGGTTAGATAGAGCTTGTCTTTAGTGCATAGTTAATCTTCATGTATACAGTCTTAGGTTCATTTTATCCCTGCTAGCTCATATTATTAGATACATACTAATGTGTATGATATTTTGATTACTGCATAGAAGTTTATTGACTGTTTAACTTTTTTTGCTAGCATTTATGACTTTTTGCTGTTCTCTTACTAGGCTACAGGATGTTGATTTTTACTTTTTTTTTAATTAAAAAACTCTGTGATCCAGTTGTTATACTAGTTCCTACACGAGAATTGGCTCTTCAGACGTCACAAGTCTGCAAGGAACTCAGTAAGCATTTGCAGATTCAAGTTATGGTCACCACCGGAGGAACTAGCTTGAAAGATGATATCATGAGATTGTATCAACCTGTCCATTTGCTTGTTGGCACACCGGGTCGGATTCTTGATCTTGCAAAGAAAGGTGTTTGCGTCTTGAAGGATTGTTCAATGCTTATTATGGACGAGGTAATTTGATCATGTCAAGTTTGAGTATCCAAATTAAATTAAATTTCCCACTCAAAATTTGTACTTTGTGCTTTTCAAATACTAGTATAGTGTACATGTATTGCACGTAGACATGCTTGTTTGACCATTTTGTAGAAATCAAAATCCCGATTGTTACAATCAAAGCAAAAAAAAAAAAAACCTATTGTAGTCTCAGAATTGGATATTCCACTCAGAAGGAAAAACTAAATTCAAGCTTCAATCCATCAATCAAAATTGCATCAAATTAACTTATTTTAATACAAATTCTCAAAATTCTAGCTGAAATATAGATGAACGCAGTTGCTTTAACATGTGTTTAGGCAAATTCGTTTTTGAAAGAAGACGACAGACATCCTCATTCCTCTACTCCGATAACTTCAACTTCCTTGTCGCGACGTAAATTAGTTTTTGGTTTGAGCTTTGATTGTATAGTTTTAACCATACAATTTAACCATACCTTATTATTTTATTAAACTAAAAAGAAATATGTACATAATACATTTTCAAACAAATAGCAATTGCTCGCTTGCCACACGCATGGATGTCGTCAGTGGATCTCCTAGCTGCCATCCATATGCACAATGGATGGAAATACTTCAAGAAAAAGCAAAAGAAGATGTTAAAATAGGAGGAAATATTACTATGCTTGAAAAAAGAAAAATATCATTACCTGGCTTTAAGATTTCTTTCTTGAGTTTCTCCCTAACCTTCCATGTATTTGATTCCCCTTGTTCTTTATATTGTTTTGGCGCCATAATAAGTTATCGAACAGAAAAGCGAATATGTATTGATTTAACCGTACCTTATTAAATATGTTTATAAAAACACACGATACATATCCAGAAAATATCATTCTTCTTACTTGTCACATACATGGATGCCATCCATGAACCCTCTAGCTCTTGTCCATTGATCTGTACAATGGAAGAATGGAAATATTTCAATAATAAATCTAAACTATAAAATAAATGCTGATGATCATTAAGACGATGTTATATCAGGAGAAAATATTGGCTGGTATATTTGTGAATATGACATGCCTTTCAAAGAACAATCTCTTATGGGGAGAAGGCCCTTCATTGACAGCGTATTTTTAAGGGAAAATAGCTAGAGAAGGAAGAAAATTAAATGGGGAAGTAGTCTTGATGCATGATAAGATGAGTGTTAATAATCATTTATGATGTTAGTTTAATGCACATCGAGGGGTTTTGCAATCTTTTTTGCTTTCCTTTTTAAAAGTTAAAACATTTGCATATATAGTTTGACCCATAAGAGGACCAAACTTCTATGGTGACCACTCAAGATAGAACTAGGAGGGTGAACTTGATTCTATGTTGGTTTGCGCCTTTTAAGATTTTGAAGCTAGAACCAGAAGGTAATGAGTCTCGAACTTCCGTTTAGTCTACAAAAATGCTTTTACTAATTAATGTATGGTTTAGTAGTGGAGTTACATTGATAATTTGAATGTTTATGGTTTTGTATGTAATGTATATTCATGTATGTATGTGATCATCAAAATACTCGAATTACATGAATACCCATGGCAATGTGAAGAGCACATTTACAATTGTCCACATAGTTTGAGGGCATTTTTGGAAGGAATGTTTTAACATCCAACATATTTTTGGAATAGTGTTAGATTAGCAATTAGGTGATGAATTCACAACATAGTTTGTAATATAATATGATTTATATTTGTGAAACATTTAAAAGTTTTCTCTGTCCTTGATGCATATTTTATCATTATTTGTGATCACTATCCTTCATTATTTGGACGCTTCCAGTTTATCATCTTTTGATTCGCTCATTATGCATCTGTTTTTACTTGTTGTCACAGGCAGACAAGCTTCTATCTCCTGAATTTCTACCTTCAGTAGAGCAGCTTATTCGTTTTCTTCCTGCAAATCGACAGATTTTGTTGTTTTCTGCAACTTTTCCTGTAACCGTGAAGGATTTCAAAGACAGATACCTGCCTAAACCATATATAATTAATCTTATGGATGAACTGACCCTAAAGGGAATCACTCAGTATTATGCATTTGTAGAAGAAAGGCAGAAAGTCCACTGCCTAAACACCCTTTTCTCAAAGGTTTGATCTTTACTATCAATTTACTTAGCAACACTGGTGCACACTGTAAACTGTGAATTTGCTGGTTTTCTGTTCTTGTTCTCAGCTTCAAATCAACCAATCTATTATATTTTGCAATTCTGTCAACCGGGTTGAATTATTGGCCAAGAAGATCACTGAACTTGGCTATTCTTGCTTCTATATTCATGCTAAGATGTTGCAAGATCATCGGAATCGAGTGTTCCATGACTTTCGTAATGGTGCATGCAGAAATCTTGTTTGCACAGGTAAAACCTGATGCAATTGTTGTTTCATTGTCCTGGTTACAGTGACCATTTTTATATTGATATTATTTTTACAAACCTGTTTTCACTTTTAATAATGATGACATGTACTTAAATTAGTAACTGAGTGGAATTACGGAGTATTTTACTTCTTTTTATTGTGATCCGTGTGCATGCGTATAGTTTCATGGAATGCCTTTGTCAAGTGCTCTTAATGCATGACATCAGGTACAATCGTTGTTAAATTTAAAAAAAAAAGCATATGTTCTGTAGCTCTGGCTAGTATACTGATCCAGTCTCTCTGTTTTCCTGATCAGATTAATAAACATACACGGTACTAAATAATGCCAATCGGTTATCACTTATCACATTGCACAACATAGCACCAAACTATGGTTTTTTCACATTTGTCTCTTTACGATATTACATATACAAAATTCAAGGTGGTACCCTGAGATTCACATAAATTTATCATGACCAAGAATTTTTTGGATTAAATATTCCCATAAATGGACATTTCTCTCGAGCATTTGATTAGACCAACAGTTAGCAACTACACATATCGGACTATGGTAAAAACATTTTTGAAATGTTTTAAATTACGATAGATTGCATTGTTCTAAGTATATGTAGCTCTAGCATAAATCTAGTCAGATTGTTGTTTTTGGTCGTCCTTTTTGTAACTAGGTGTAGTAGAACAAACTCCCAAACTTTTCAATTAATTATATTTTCAGTGGTTTAGGCATCTTGATGGTGTATGTGTGTTGTCTCTTTTTTTTCAGTGTGTGCCATTTTCGAATTTGTACTGATCAAATTAAAGGAGAAGATCGTGAATATTATTTTATTTAAATAAAATAGATTTTTATTGAAGAAACATAATTAGATGTTCCTTTGATAGTAACATGATCTAGATTTTGGTTTTCTCAGATTTGTTTACAAGGGGTATTGATATTCAAGCAGTTAATGTTGTCATCAACTTTGACTTCCCCAAGAACTCAGAGACATATCTACACAGGGTATGGAATTTATTTCTCAGTATGCATCTCTTCCTATGTGTAATATATAAAATCAATGGTGGCTGTGTGATTTAGTAGAAGCAATATTGAACAAAAAATATCCTTATCTTTCATGTCCACAACGTCATTAGCATAGCATATGTGACCTGCAAGAAATTTGATTAATATTCTCTGATCCCTCCCCTTTTGATGACCAAGAAAAATAAATCCATTATGTCAATTTTTTTGGTCCACCTTGCTTTTTATCTTCGGAAGACAGCTTTAATGTCAGTTTCGCAGAGTTCTGTAGAGGTAAAGTACAATTCAATCAGAGTTGGAAGCAGCCTTATGTTGGGGCTTGCTTGGTTGCATGCGAGTGTGTGGAACAGGAAGGAACAGTAACTAAATTCCAGTATTTAATTTTTGTAGCCCATTATGCAGGAAATATGGGAGTATGGCACATAAAAAAGCAATTGAAGTGCCATCTTTTAACTTTTTTCCATTACTTGGAACTAAGATGAACAACCATTGCTTGGGGCCCTCATGTATATCTCTTCCAACTGCTGAATAAAACTGCTAGACGCTTTCTTTCAGACATTTACACTTGACTTAAGAGGCTCTTGTCCCAGAAATTCAGGTGAAGATAAAAATAAAGTTAATGATAGACTGTTTAACTTGTCAGGGTATAATCTTTTAGGATAGAGGAGGGTTTCTTTAAAGGGTCTACATTAGCCAATGTGCAATCACTTGGTTAGGGTAAAGTGTTAATTGACATGGGCTCGTTTCTCTGGCACGCCACAATCTAGAAACAAAGATCTAAACTATTGTGGATGGAGTTAACTACCTTCTCCATTGAGAATTTGTTTATATTTGATGTGTAGGTTGGACGTTCAGGAAGGTTTGGTCACCTTGGTTTAGCAGTGAATTTGATCACCTATGAGGACCGTTTCAACTTGTAAGTTATCCTACTTCAATCTCCATTGTAAGTTATTTCTTAGGATATATCACATCTGAAATATTCTTGCCTAACAACAGATACAGGATTGAACAAGAACTGGGTACTGAAATAAAGCAGATTCCTGCTCAGATAGATCAGGCTATTTACTGCAGATGATCTCAGGCTACAATTTCCATATCTTCAGAATTGGTGAAAAGATCGCCTGTAAATACTAGCTTAACGAGTACGTGGAAACTCTCTCCTATTCTCTCATACCACATGTACATGTCACACGTGTATTAATGTGCACATACCAAATTAAATTAAAGTCTGTAGTCCCACTGTTTGGTTTATAATTAAGATCATTATTATTGAAAGCAGGCTACCTAATATAATTTATATCAATATTTTATTTCTATTTCTTCAAAAATGAGGTCTGATTCAGATTTTATTTGGTTTCTTTGGTTGTCCTAGATCTATGTATCTAGTCAGGCCCTTTTTGGTTGTTGTAGAATGAGTTAAGGATCATCATTACAGACATCTGTGCTAATTTATGCGCACAGTTGTTTAGCTTCCATTCGAGTTGCATGTTTTTGGAAGTATGTATTCACATTGACCATCAGCTTGTGTTCAGTCTTGTTGTATAAAAAAGCTTGTGTCAGAAACATTAGATACTTAGATCGTGCACAGGAGTAGGTTGGCTATGAGGTGTACTAGCACAACCTTTTTATTTACAAACCATACCTATGCAAATTGATAGCATAATTTGGATGGTATTCCACCATTGATGTTGGATGCTCCTGCTCAAATGTGGACATAAGCATTCACCCGGTTATCCTGTCAACCCCTACAGATTATTGGAGCATCTGATGTGAAGGTGTGGTATATATAGTATTGTTGTTGTATTTTATTTCTTTTGTTTCTTTGGGCATATACTATTGTACAGATAACTTTAAATATTATTTGCATTAGTAGCTAGTTGATTTTAATATTCAAGTGTTGTACATTTATTTATTATTTATTATTTTATTTTATTATTATTTTATTCATTTATTTATGATGATTATTATTAGTATTTTAGAAAATGATATCTTGTACAGTATATGCACAAGGTACTACTAGTAACAAATTACCATGTAGGGTTTGCTATGTTACATATGTGGTCTGAAGTAAACATTGTATCCTTTAGGTAGGTTCTGAATATCTTAAACAGATTTTACTGATTTTTAGGTAGATGTTGAAGAGAAGATGCTTATGCACTTCTGGATTGATTATGCATGTCTGCCTATACTCGATGTCAAATACGAATGTCGAACTAGTCTTGTTGTTGCCATCATCATTAATTATCTACATACTTAGGATACACATGACATGCATCATGCTAAACTAATGTGCATAACAATTTCTACCGGTTAGTGTTCCTAACATTCCTCTTTATTTGTAATTGCCAATTCTTGCTGTTGCAACTCCCTTTTTTTTCAGTTTTGTTTCCCTCCTCGATACCTCTTATTTTTGGTTGAAAATGATTTGTTCCGTATTGTTTGTGTTAAGAATACATGATTCATCTTCTTACGCTGCAATTTATTCTCCATATTCATTTACTCATGAACATTGGATGTCCATTTTTTTATGCGTGTTTTATTTCTTTGCTACTCTTGTGTACAGGGCTAATGGGTTGCATTCTCCATAATGTCAAATTGTAGCTGAAGGAGAATGCTGAGAGTCATTATGTTCAGTTCTTTCCAATGGGTTCTTTATGCTCATTACGCCAATTGTGGTAGTTGGTTCGAGACATTCTGGTACTTGCATATTTCTTATCTTCAGAGAGATGCTTTTAGAACTAACAAATTGTCCGTTCATCCTTTAGGTGGACTGTTTCTCAAGTTAGTTTGCTTTTAATCAGGTATCCATATTTGTTGTATTGCAATGTTAAGCGAGAGGCCTTGTCTTTATGTTGTTTCTATGCTCGGACATTTGAGCCTTTAGAGTTCTCTTCCGGAAAAACAAAAAGCCAAAAAAAAAAAAAAAAAAAAAAAAAAAAAAAAAAAAAAAAAAAAAAAAAAAAAAAAAAAAAAAAAAAAAAAAAACAAAAAAACAAAAAAAAGAGAAAAAAAGAAAAAAGAAAAAAAAGAGGGGGAAAAAGAGGAAAAGAAAAAAGTGGGAAAAACCATGTAGTTGAATCTTAGTTTTTTGTTAGTCTGGCTGGTGTGAGGATGATGCTATTAGATGTCAATATGTCATTCATGTGGAATCTTTTAATTTTATTTTTTTATCCCTTACTTATTTTCTAGTGGATACTGCTTGACTAGTTTTTCTAGATCAGTGTGGAACTATGTTTGTAACTTCGGATAGCTTTATCTTGCTACTGTAGCAAATTACTGTACATCAATTGACAAGCAAGTTGGTTACCGCGAAGTTTGAAGCCTTTCCTGTGTTGTTTGCCTCTTGAAGATGAAATTTTAGTAGTAAATTGTTCTTTTAAGCTTTTAATATCAAGTGTA